CGCTGACGGGCCCCGCGCAGGCTCCAAGGGCAACCTGTGCGAGAGGAAGGCGCCGCTGGCGGCGAGCGTGGCGCTCACGCTGCCCTCCGCCGCCGTGGCCGCCTACTACCTGCTGCTGCAGACCTACGCGCTGCGCCTCGAGGCCCTGCTCTGCGCCGTCCTGCTGCTCTTCTGCGGCGCCGAGCTGCTGCTCGGCCTCCTCGCGCTCGCCTCCTTCGCCAGGTGCTGGAGGCCCCCGCACGCGCGGGGACGCGACGCCGGGGCGCTGCTCACACGGCGCCGCCTCCCCTCTCCGCAGCAGGGACGCGGCGTGAGGCCACTCACCGCGCYGGTGCCTGTGCCTGGAAAGCCGCTTTTGGGGGCCCCCCTGGCCCCGTGGGGCAGGACTGGCCCCTCTGCCCTGCAGCAGAGCCACAAACCGYCTGGGGCGGCAGCAGCAGCCCCGCCGGCTGCCCGGGACCGGCCCCACGTGGCAGGTCCCGGCCCCGGGCTTGGGACACACAGCTCAGTTCCAGCTACAGAGAATGTTCTTTTTTTTTTCCCTATCACATCCTCAGAAGAATTCAGTATTTTCCAATAAATATTCCTTTTGTAAGCTGGTGCCTGGGCTTCCTCCAACAAGCAGGACATAAAACCTCTCCTCTGCTCCCGCTGGAGAAGGGAGCTGCTCCGAGCCCGGCCCGAGCCTCCCCTGCCGCGCTCCCCTCGCAGGCTCGTGCCCCACGGCGTCCCTAAAACCCCGAGCAAGAGCAGAGCTCGTCACACAGGAACGCCCTGCAGCGCCATATAAAAGATTGACAAGGTCATCAAGTTTATTACACAATTTCCAACCTATCAGAAAGACAAACAAATCTAGTCACTGCGAGCAGGAGGGGCGGCACCTCGCTGGGTGGGTGACTGGGGTTTGCTCTGCACTTTTCCCCCGCTAGTCAGAAAGAAACTAAAAATTAAGTAAAAAACAACTCCTCTGCTGTGTGCTCCCCTGGCACTCACCCCCTTAGCTGGTGCCTTGTGGTACTTTATACATTTTTTTTTTTTTTTTGGTGATTCTCTCTAAAACGACCTCCGGAGCCAGGTGTCTTCATGGCCAACCCCAGTTCAGCGGGAGATGGCACCCTGCGGGCTGGGGCCCCGGGGAGCCACCCCGTGTCCTCGGCTCCCAACTCCCAGGCCGGTGCTCCCGGGACGTGGTGTCCCGGCCCCGCGGCCTCGAGGGTGCCGCCGCCTCCGTGGCCTGGGTGGGGGGTCCCAGCTCCCAAGCGCTCCCCTGCTCCTCAGCGCAGCCGCCGGGAGCAGCAGGGATGCAGCAGGAGAGGCCCGGGCAGCACCCGGCCCCTGCTGCCACCCAGCAGGGACGCCCGGGCCCCTGCGCCCTCCCGCCTGGGCCTCCCCGCGCCCGGGGCCTCTGCCTCCCTCCCTCCCTCTAAAACAAGGAAGATCCTGCGCGGAGGCCTCCGCGGGGCTGCTCCTGTAGGCGCAAGCGGGCAGGGCCAGGGCGGGCACAGGGAGGAGGTGACGCCCCAGGGGCGCCCGCCACGTGCTGCCTCCTCGGGAGGAGGCCAGGGGAGGCTGCCCGGGCACGCGGAGGAGATGGCGCCCGGCAAGAYCCCGGAGAAATCCCAGGGAGCCCAGGCCGGACTCGGGGCGCGGCGCGGCGCACTCCGGCGCCGCGCGGACACAGGCGGATCCGTCCCCTTCCAGCCACCCCAGGAGAGCGGCAGGGAGGAAAGGGCCCGTCCACCTCCYTCCATGGAAAAAGAAAGCACCATTTCTCTTTGGGTCCGAGTATCCATGGAGCGGAGCGGCGGCTGCGCTCAGCGGCCCGCGYGCTCCCCGGCTCCGGAGCTGCCGGCCTCGCCGCGGGGAGCAGCAGGAGCACTAAGTGTGGGTCAGGGCTCAGGTCCCAAGGCCACAAGGTGACAGCTGGAGGCCCCACAGCTGGGGGGCACAGCGGGGCTTCCCTCGGGGGCCCGGAGAGAGCCGGGGGTGGCAGGGAAGGGKGAGGGTGGCGCGGCCTCGGTGGTGTTGTCCTGGTCGAGGTGAAGAGATACAAGTCCATTAAAAACCACTTGCTGCCAGACTCCTGCGGGGACGGAGGAGAAGGGGCAGTGAGCGCAGCCCCAGCAAAACCCTTCCCTGCCCCTCTGCAGCCAAGCAGGAGAGCCCTGGAGAGCCCATGTGCCCCCTTGTCATTCCCCAGGGAGGGAAAGCCAACGTGTTGGGAATGAAACACAGAGCCCGAGGTGGCCGAGCTGGGGCTCATGGCACACACGGCTGGGTCAGCCCCCCCGTGCCAGCTCACCCGCCTCAGTGGTGCCGGTCCCGCTCTCTGTCCCTGTCCCGATGTCGATCGTGCTCCCGGCTGCGCTCCTGGAAATAGTCCTCGTGCCGATCCTCGCCGTGGAGCGYGTCGCGGTGCCGCCGGCTGCTCTCGCGGGACCGGCTGGGAGACCGCTCCCGAGAGCGGTGCCTTTTCCTGGAGAAGGAACACGGAGCTCTCAGTGCCCTCGCACGCCAGGGAYGGGGGGGACAGGGCTGCCAGGGAACCACGGCCTCCGCTCGGCCTCTACCAGCGGAGCCGAGACCAAAGCCACAGGCCAAGCACAAGCCAGTCTCTTCCGAAGGGCTCCAAGGCCAGACGTCACCCGGACCCCCAGTACCTGGAGGAGCTGCTGCTGGCGCCCGTGCTGTAAGACTTGGCCTCGATGCCGTGCAGACAGTCTTTGAGGGAAGAGAGGAGGACGCGGCACCGCTCGTCGTTGGCCACACGGGACTGCTTGATGACAGCGATGGCCGTGAGGAGGGTCTCGATGGCGTCGCTGTAATCGCCTGCGGAGACAGGGAGGCGCCGAAGGCTGCAGAGCAGCCGGGAAGGGAGCGCGGCGGGCACGAGGGCAGCGCCGGCCGGTACCTGCACTGGCTCCGGACACGGCCTTGGAGATGGCACTGCTGGAAATGGCCCGGTTCCTGTTCATGATCTCCTCAAACTCCACGTCGCTCACGGGCGGAGGCGGCGGGCCGAGCTCGCGGCTGCGCGAGACAGGGCGCGCGCGGGGCTCAGCGCCTGCAGCGGGGGCCCCCCGCGCCCCCC